AAAAATTACTTAAAAAAAATTTAGAAGGATTCCTGAAGCTGGCTGCATAATTTTTGTCCCACTTGTTCTAGGGGGGAAAAAATCCCTTTTTTTGCTGAGAAGCCACAGTGGATGACCTGTAATGATGGGCAATTCCCCAGTGCCAGGGCCTCACTCATCCCTACAGGATAAAAACCTTGATTCCAGCCTGTTTGGGCAGGTCCTGAGCAGAAAATTGGGATAACCATCACTCAGCATGAGCAGAGCTGAGATCCTGGGTGTGAGGGTCTGTAAACCTTCTGAAACAAAATCTCTTCTGATGGGCAGTGAAAAGATTGAAAATTAATTTTAAAATTACTTTTTTTTTTTTTATCATTTTATTAGAAGGCCTGGAAGTATCCCTGAAACTGGCTGCATAATTTTTGTCCCACTTGTTCTACGGGGGAAAAAAAAATCCCTTTGTTTGCTGAGAAGACACAGCAATGATGGGCAATTCCCCAGCGCCAGGGCCTCACTCATCCCTACAGGATAAAAACCCTGATTCCAGCCTGTTTGGGCAGGTCCTGAGCAGAAAATTGGGATAACCATCACTCAGCATGAGCAGAGCTGAGACCCTCAGGGGTGTGAGGGCCCTCAGAGCTCCCACAGCAATGAAGAAACCTCTTACATAATGTTGTTTATTGAACAGAACATGGCCAAAGTCCTTTCTGGCAGGAGATAAAAGTGTTTGCGCAGAGCTGACAGCAAGAGCCCTGCCAGGCTTTGGCAAGGACACACCAGGGCTGTGAAAATCCAACACCACACGTGGATTTTCTTCCCTGCTCAAAACACACAGCCCTGCTCCAAGCAGCAGCAGCTGGAAGTGGGAGCAGTTCTTTGTGGTGGCAAAAAGTGATTTTCCTGCTGGAAAACACACACATGGAGAGTTTAGGAAGGGCAGGTTGAATGGAAAGGGAGCAAAATTGCAGTTTCTGAACTCAAAATCCTGCACAGGTTAATGAACTGAAGGGATACCTGCCAAATTTAATTAAAATGTTGTCCTGGGGTGCTTTGCCTTTCCTTCCCCACCCTCCCTTGCCTTGCCTCAAGAGCAGGAACTCTCCTGCCCTTCTGGAAAATCAACTCATGGAGTGACTTTTTGCTGCTAATAATTTATGGCCAGACATGTCAACACCCCAAAATTCCCCAGGGGATGTGCCTTGAATCTACCCAGGGGTTAAAGCTTCACCACAAATAGAGAATATTGTGCCATCCCTCATCAGAAGCTGCAGCAGCAGCCCCAGGGCACTTCCCTGAGATGTGGGAGAGCCCAGGGAAGCATCACTCCAAGGAAGAGCCAAGAAGCACATGGCAAGCTAAAAACTCTGGCACAAAACTGGGAAAACCTCAAGATCCAAAAACAGCAATGCAGATTTGGGTAGATCCAAATTCAATCCAACTGTGGGGTTTTTTTGGGGAAAAATGGTCATACAATGAATGAGGTGGGCTGCTCTGTGTCCACCCATGCCAGCAGGGGCTGAGCTGCTGCTGAAAAACCAAATTATGGGAGCCCTGTCTGCTCCCAAACCTTGAGAACCCCAGGGACCATCAAAATCCAGCTCCTGGTCCTGCAGAGTGCCTGAGAGTGGTGCCCAAACATTTATTGATTTAAACAAAGGGTGCCGTGCCCAAATCCTGGTTCTCACCGGCAATCCCTGCCCAACCTGCAGCACACAGGGACAGCCAGGAGCAGGAGAGGCATCAGGGGGATGCAAAAGGAAACCACAGAAGCTTCTGGCAAACATTTGTGGCCAACAGCTGATGAGCTGGGTGGGAGAAGCTGCCAAAACAGGAATTTGTGGCTTCTCTTTGGGCAGTGCTCTGGCACCAGGAAGAGAATGAGCACCCAGGAAAAGCAGGAGAGGGAAATTGATGGGATTGATCTTTCCAGAGCGCAGCAATGCAGAGGAATCACTGCCCTTGTTCTCGTGCTCCTCCAACACCTCCCATCCCTGTTTTTATGGGTGTCAAACCTCCTCCACATCCCTGTATCCAGGAAGAGAATGAGCACCCAGGAAAAGCAGGAGGGGAAGTTGATGGGATTGCTCTTTCCAGAGCACAGGAATGCAAAGGAATCACTGCCCTTGTTTGTTTTGCGCTCCTCCAACACCTCCTATCCCTGTATTTAACCTTCCCCATGTTCCTGTATCCAGGAATGCGCACCCAGCTGTGTCCTGAGTAAAAGCAGGAGGGAAAGTTGATGGGATTGATCCTTCCAGAGCACAGGAAAACAAAGGAATCACTGCTTTTGCTCTTGTGCTCCTCCAACACCTCCCTTGCCTGTATTTATGGTTATCAAACCTTCCCCAAATTCCTGTATTCAGATGGATCTCAGCAACATCAGTGCCCACCCTCCTGGCAGGGATCCTGGTGTGCCCAGCTCTTTCCTGAACCTTCCTTTTCCAGCCTTTTCTGCTGCAGACCCCTCTTTCCCAGCTTCAGCCTCCTGTCCAGGTTTGCCCCTGCACACCCAAACCTGTCCCTACAGAGCTCAGCTGGAGGCCACAGAGGATGGATTCACTGGGAGATCCACGATTTCTGTGGGACTGGGGCAGCACAATGCCAGATTCCAGCTTTCACAGCCTGGTGTTTTGCTGTGTTCACCTCTCTGAGGGGCACCAAGCAAGGAGGAGCAGCAGGAGCTGGGAGGGAGAGGCAACAATGCCCAGGGCAAGGGAATCACTGAGATGGTGACTGTCCCTGAAGTCACCCAAGGATCCAGCCCAGGAACACAGAGCTCAGAGGTGATGGCAGAGGAGCCCCCAGCAGCCTTGGCTGCTTTCTCCAGACAGCAGAGGCTGCAGGTGCATCTTACCTGAGGTTTGGGGTGTTGAAGATTGCAATACAGGATGTTTTCCATTCCCATCTGTATGGCAGATTACCTTTGTCAGGTGGGCAGTTTGCCTTATCTCTCTCTTTGAGTGACCACATTCACACCTCCCTCAGGAGGGGACATTGCTGATAACAGACTATTGAATGTCCCTGCATGGCTGATAAGAACTATAACATCCCATTGGGAGATGCTCCGCCCAGAGGGAGGAGCCAAGCATTGCTACCCAGATATAATCCAGAGGTTTTGAGACACCAGCACGGCTTCTCCACGGGATTCCCCAGAGGAACAGCAGCTGCCTCTCCTTCCACTGGATCTTCAGAGGAAGAACACATCCTTCTCTACAGGATCCCTGCTCCAACAGAACCACCCCTGACACTGCAGGAGGGCTG